TAACCCGGTGACAAGCTGTGTGTTCTCAGTGGGAACTCTTCCAAATTTTTAAAAACAATTATAGTTCTCTGTCCATGAATGCTGAACTGTCACATTCTGCCAACACAGGGAAGCTTCAGAGAGGATTTTTTGGGGCTAGGCTGGATCTCCCTCTGTCTTTGTACTCTAACTAATCTAATCAAAGATTAATTTGTTCCTTGCTTTATTATCCCTGTATTCAAACACACACAATGCAGTATTTTGTGAGCTTACTTCTGAAATAGATTCTAGCAAGGTTAAAAAAAAAATCAGCTTCCTTGCACTGCATATATACCCACTTAGTACTACACTAGTCATGCATTAAAAATACCTCTGATCTGCTATTGCCAGGGAAAATTAACTGTAAACTGAAAGGAAAAGTAGTGCATTGCACTTCAGTCTCAATCCTACCCTTTCAGTCTTGGATTTATTCACATCGAGAGCAATATAAATACATTAGTCAGTAATTTGGTTTTTACTCATTCACAGGCAAAAATCATCATTTCCTTAGTTTGATAAAAACTGTTCTGATGGAAATGCAAATCTCCAGGAAAGGTTCAGACATGGTTTAAATTGTCCATTGCATATTTTTGATCACTTACATGAATTCAAGGACTACTCCACTTGAAACAAAGCTCTCATTTAAGCCAAAGAATGAAACATGTTCCTGGGTGAGCAGCTGCCTAAGCAAAGTACAGTATTAAATGCTACCTGTGTTGGTGGTTGGAAAGCAAAGAGTTTGCATTACTAATGAATAAATCAAACTGATGAATTATTGCAAAAGTTCTTTTTTAAAAAAAAATTGAAACAGTTCTTAGTTGAAATGTATTGAAACTCAGAGTAGGTTCGTAGTAGGTTTTCTAATGAAGGATTTTTTTTTCTTTGTTACATATGGAATCAGTTGCAGTTTAGTTTCGTTTTTGCTGTTGTTGAAAACTTAGCATAAACCTGTCCTTGAGAAGCTTGGAAGTACCTGATATATTTGTGCAGCCTTGAATTCACCATGCAGAAACAAAAAAATCCAGCCAAAAAATCTCTGTGGAAGTTGCAGTGATGATTTCCCAACAACCAGTGGCTTGTGCCTTGCAAAGCATTTTTTTTTTTTTTTTTACTATTTCAGTTGTGATTTGCTGCATTCTGCTCTTCTTTTTGCATGACATGTAAAGGTCCCTTGTTGTTTGTGTATCATTGATACAATTCTCCTGCAACGGAAAACAAAGAAGGCAGTAGTGCTTTTAATAGAGGGTGCCTGATTGATAAGCTAGTTGCAGCCAAACCTGCTCTGGCTAATTGTCTTTCAAATGCCCTCATTAATCAAACAGAGGAGTAAGTCTGACAGGAGAGCTGTCACTGTTTTCATGATTTCCTACCACTCACCTCACAGTGTGAGACCTGGCTGGGTACCCAAATCATGGCCTTTAAACAGTTTTAATGCCTGCTCACTGCAGAGCACACCTGGCTTTGGTGGGATGGGGGCCTGCCCAACTCTGAGCCATGATCTATCCCAGGAGACCAATTTAGCAGTTATTTAATGATTCATAGCTTGATGTCTGGAAATGAGTGCTCCACACGATAACATACATAAACAAATTTAATTAGTTTTTGCCTTTTTTGCATAAGTAGCCACCAGTGTATTAAAGCTGCAAACAAAACAGGTAGGCTGCCTGGAAAGTCATTGAAGCTGGTTCACAGCAGATCTTTGTAAAAGGCTGTGGTGCTTTCTTTCATCTGCTGATAGTCACTGATGTCTCTTTGGCCAGGTCCTGAAGTTGCTGGGTTTGCTCATTAAGAACAAGGGAAGCAGTTATCTCAGCTAGCTTTTGGCCAGGTGTTAGAATTACATATCTACAGCAAAAACTGGCAGCCTCTCATCTACTGCCCTTCAAAGCTGCAGAATGTAGTATTTTTTTGAAACTGTTTTTAAAGGATGTGCTTCATATGTTTCCTGTTTTGCAATCTATTAGAAATATTATTTAGTACACATCAACCTGAGTTATTGTTCAGAGATAGGGATTTATTTATTTGCATTTTTATTGAACATACATGAAAATGTTGCAAAATTATTTCTAGTTGTGCACACTACAAAATAGGGCAAAATACTTAATGCTTAAGAAAGCAAATTGAAAGCTTTAGGGACAGAATATTTTTTTAACCTTCTTTTGCAACATTGCATAATTAACAGTGGTGATGTATGAAGTGTATGGGGGTTTGTTTCTCTGCTGTTAAGTTTTTCATATTCTCTGTGGAGCAGAATTCTAGGATTGATAGTCCAGAATATCTTGTCATTCTCCTAAGCAAGATAAGTAAATACATTTTGCATGAAAAAATGTTGCATTTTGCATATATTCATATTAAGTGAAATTCTTACTTTAATAACATTTCAGGGCTGAAAATGATTCAGCGACACATAGTACAAATATTTTATACTGCAGGGTTTCTTTGAACTCCTGACAGCAGAGCAATATAGCTTGTCTTTTTTTCTTTATCTGGGATTAGCTTCTACCCACCAAGTGGAATATTTGCTCCTATGAGAGGTGCCTTTTTCTTTGATAGGGCAGTTTGATCATAAATTTTAGCAGATCTTGGTTTTAGATTACCAACTGTCTGAACCAGACACCTTGTTTTCCTGAGCACACAGAGGAAAATCTTAGCATGGAACATGTTGGTTCCAGGAATCCTGCAGTCATCACTTTATAAATGTGCTTGATCTCAGAGTTGAGCAAGGGGCACCAAGCCATGATTTAAGATGATATGCTGCTATCCAAAAGTGAAATTCTGTCTCCAGAAAGCTCAGTGGAAACTTCATTATTGGTCTCAGTGGGGCCAAATTTTTTTTTTTGTTGAGGTATTTTGAACTTTGGAAGCAATTTTGACTGAGAAAGAAGGTGGGGACAAGGAACAAATTAGTTTTGACCTTTTTCTTTTAGAAATTTAACAGAGACCATTGGCTTATTTCTGCCAGTACCTCCCAACACCTATCGGAAAATGTATTTTCTCTGAGTCACTATTAATTTTATATCATGGTGTTTTATTTTACTATGAGAGACAAAGTTCCAAGTGGTGTGATTTATAGGACATGTGTACCTAGGTAGATATTGCCTCATGTTTTCTCTTCTCTATAAGCCAAAACAAAGAGCCTTAAAGACATATATTAAAGTCTAGGTACCTGCTCCTAAAATTTGACCAACTTTAACAAAACCAGTAGTGTGTAGGTAAACATTTCCAAAGGCCTGTGATTGATTTTATGAGCTCATTCAATGCCTGTGGGTTGTGCTCTGTGGACACTCATAAGGATTTCTGATTAGTGTCATCGTGCCCCCTATAAATCTATTTTCTTGGGAGTCTATATCTTGGTAATAAAAACTTGTCCTGCAGTGAAAGGTCTTGGCATAATAGCAGAATTATTGCTATTTTTACTGCATTTGAAAAGCAATCCTTGCACCTTCTCCCTATCCTCTAGAAACAGTCTTTTTTTTTTTCTGCATATAATGCAATCCCAATAATTTCTTTGGTGATTTAATTAGGTAATATTAATGAGTGTACACTTCCTTTCTTACCTAGATTGTTTGGACTGTACAGGTCCAACCTTGTCACTGTTGTCTGCTTGTGTGTACCCCGGGCAGACTTAATTCATTTTCCTCACTTGGGAAAATCTGTCAGCTTCTGCCTGTATTCCTGTTGTTTCTTCCAGATTTGGACCCCCCCAGATCAGGATGGCTCTTTAAGATACAATGAGGAATCAAACTTTGTATTGAAGTGCCATTCCAAGAGCTATGAGGTGTCATGCCATTTTAAGACTTCACTTGTGGGTTCTTCAGCTGTGAGCAGGAGCCCTTTCAGGCTTGGTCATTTGAAGTTTTGTGTATGTTCAATGTGGCCCATAGGTCTGTTAAAGAAGCACAGATTTGACAGGATCCACGAAACAGACAATACAACACCTAATTTCTTTTGAGCCTGGCCAGAGCCTGCTACTCAGAGTTAGTGCAGGTACCACTGCATGAATTGCTGCTGCGCCTGGCCCAGCCCAATTGCTGCTGCCTTCTGTGTAACAGGTGATGATTTTGCTGTCCAGGTAAATGAAGAGTTTATTTTTATCCTGACTGGCCTCCTAGTGGCAGTGATTCCCCTCTGCAGCCAGCTCAATAAAACATTTGCATGGGAAATAAATTTGGTGATTTATGGTTTAGGTCTTTCTATAGAATATTCAGTGTATTTGTTGTTGAGAGAGACGCTCTGCTATTCCCTTTTGAGATCAGGCTTTAGTTAAACCTATGCTTTATTTATTGGTGGAACTGTTGTGAATCATGCAAAAAAGTTGCAAAATGCTTCCCTAAAAGAACTGCTGAGTGTAGCATCTGATTGCAGGTAGTTAAGAGCAACAGGGTTTAAATTTGCTAAAATTCAGGAAGTGGGTAGGAATTGGAAGATGACAATTCCTGTGTGGGTTGAGCATCTGGAGCCAGCACTATTCCCAGCCTGGCCACCCTGGGATTCTGCTTTTGCATGAGCAGGAGAGGAGAATCTGCCACAGGGCAGCTGCAGGAAGATCAGTAATCAGATCCCTGATAACCTGAGTGACGGCTGCAGGCACACTGGAGCAAACAGGTTGCACTACAGCAACAACAGTGCAGTGATCTTGTGGGGTAGGGACACTGAAATCACTGGATAGAGTTGAATGAAACTGATTAATTTTTTGGATAGTTTTATTTGGTTGTTTGCCAAAACTTTATTTTCTTTTATCTAGTGATAATATTTGTGATATATTAAGAATAAACAAGATTAGAAGGGAGTTTTTGTTAGTAGTAAAAAGGCTATTTCATCTTACTTTTCCTTTTGTTTTTCTCATGTATAATTTTAACTATAATTTCAACAGTTTATTAGCTACAGCTTTTTCAAAAAACAAGAAAAAGGTACCAAAACCATACAAAACCAAGGTGGTAATATAGTACTTATGGGACAATTTTGGTTTTTTTCTGTTGCAGAAATGACGTTGCTCATTCAGGTCTGGTGAGAAGGATGTGGGAGTACATCAGTGGAGAAAGACATGGTAAGAATTTGTCACTAAAAGAAAAGCATACAGGATTGTCATCTAAATTAAATGCTGATGGATCATGGATTGGATTTTATCTGAGGGTTCTTTTAGCCCTTAGGTATGGAGTATATCTGTGACTACAGTGCCAATGGTGATTATTGCTGTGATGGATCATCTGCTCAAAAATAATAATTGAAAGGACTTTCCTGAATTGTAGGACCTTATCCCATGGGAAAAATGCATAGATGGGAAGAGTTCCATTATGAACTGGAGATAGATGGAGCAGGTTTTCTCTCTTTCAATATTTTCCATGACTTTATTTGTTGTTATGAAGTCTTAAAACTAAAAACTGAAATTTCATATCAGACTTCAGCAGAAAAATGTGGTTACTGGTGAAAGAGTTTTGGTTTATAACAACAAAGCTGTTTGGGCTGAAAGTGCTTTACTGATGGATTCAGAACAGCTACCTGGTGTAAGTCAGCTCTGAGTAGGACATACAGGACCCAAGAGTTACTACTTCAGAAAAGTCAAACTCATTTTTTCCTTTTAATTGTATTTATTGTGTGAACTTACCATCTTGAAACTGACTGATTAAAACAGAGGTGTTGTTTCTATAAAGGGCCAGGATTGTGAAAGTCAACTGAAATATAATACAGGAGTTTGGAGTGAAAGTTTTCATTTCAAGGAATAGATACATAACACTGCTAATTTGTCATTGATGCTGGCTTTGAGGTCTGGAAATTGTGGGTGAAATTCAGATGTCTTCACCAAGATATCAGAAATGTAGATATCAAAGGCTGGGGAAGTCACCCTAGATTCACCTTACAGTCAGTCGAGGAAAAATGGGCACCTTCAGAGAGTGATTCATCTCAGCCTAAAATAGGCAGGTCAGGAAACTTGCCCCCTGGAGATGCCTGTTTCTCTCCACTGACTGTAGGGAAGCCTACAGTGGCACACTCAGAATTCAGTGTGTAACCTTTCAGTGCCTGAAGCTAGGCTGGATGAATCTCACCCTGTGGTAGCAATGACAGGCTCTGCCAGCTGTACTAGTGTGAATGACACCTTCCTGGGCTGCTCCAGTGGCTCTGCTTCTGGGGGGCATTGAAGAAGGTCTGGCTGAGAAATTCTGAGGGTCCTCAAAACTCTGAATGATCCCAATGATAATTTTTGAGGCTTGTTTACTTCTTAGCTTCATTGGGAGTAGGTAGTTTTATTTTAATTGTGTAAAAAGAAAGGGAAATCTGGGGTTTCTGTTTGTTAATCTTTTTCCCCCTGTGGAATCCTAAAAATGAAGGCATATTTTATTCTGTTGGGTAGTAAAAACTGCTGGGATTTTCTCAAAAGCCAATGGCTGTCTATTATTTTTTGTCCCATTTGCTTTTCCCATTTGTAGTGTTGCAGAGTGTACACAGATAGTGGCTGCCCTGTAAATCCAGCAAGCATGGAGGAACCGGGTAGACATTTTTTAAGGGCTGGCAAGCTTTGTTGGGTTTGGAGGATGTCTGTGAGACTGAAGATCCAGCTAGATTTGTAATCATAATCCTTGCCTGCTTAAAATAATTTTAAAAAAATTGAGGAGGAGATGGAATGAATAGTGCTGTTTTATACAACATTTGCTATTAACAGAGTTAATAGAGGAAATGTTAATAGGAAGGATATAATATTATGAAAATATTTAGAGAGAATTTGTGTTTTTGTGTAGTTTATGAATTAGGAAAACAAGATTGCTCAGAAGACCCTTGCTTAAAAGGGAATTGTCCTGAGCACTGAATATGTTCAGCCTTTTAGGTCACAGGATACTTTTCATGCTGAACTCCTGTAAATACAAACCAGTTTGAACATAGCAGGAGCACAAGGGCATTTTTGCTTCTTCCAGAAATCCCCAGAAGTGGGAAGATGGAAAAAGTCCCAATAGTATTTATGACTTTTATTTTCTGTTGTTCAGAGAACCTGCCAAACACATAATAATTAGAACTTTGTGCTTGAGGTCATACTGGTTCAGTGAATTTGTACCTGAGCTGATGTTTTCAGTCACAGAGTGCTCTGAATTTTCTGACAGTCATAGATGGGATAAAGTGGTCCAATAGTTCAACACACTTGTAACTTGCTGTTACTTGTTTTTTATAGGTTTTTTTTGTGTCTTGACAAATACTAAAAATAGGACATAGATTGTTCCAAAACTTGAATGTACCAAGTGACTAAAATAAAAATCTGAGAGATAGAGGAAGGAAGCTTAAATTTTTACAACTTGTTACATCTTTTCTTTCTCATATGTCTGCAAACAAAGCCCTTTCTTATTTAAGTATTTCCCAATGTAACCTACCATGTTGAATGTTCTATATGAGTTTGGCTGTTTGTAATTTACCAGGAAAACAAGAGGAAAGAATGCATAGAAAGCAAGCTGCATGCTTGGAGCTGAAATTGTGCACCACCTTCATTAATAGTGGTAGGATCTCTAAACAGGCATCAAAGAACCTTTGTAAATTTATATTTAGCCAGGCATGTTGTACAATACTCTGTATTGCTCTTCAGACAGCTCGGGGATGAGGCAGTTCTGAGCACGTGCTGGCAGCTGTGTGCATGTTGCTAATCAATCTTGTGTGTACAACTTAGGGGCTGCTTCACCTACATTTACTTTTCATTTAGCCCTTTTCAATTACCCATTCAAAAATCTTTGAAGACTGTTCCTCAGTCCTGTAATCTCTCTTCAATGAAAATGAGTGTAGCCACAAAGAGAACTAGAATAGGGTTCATTCTCTTCTGTGCAAAAGAGAATGGATAAAAGCTTGACTTTAATACAGGTGTGTGATAACACTGCTGCTATAAGGCACCTTTTGGCCAAATGGCAAACGAGCTGAAATAAATCTATTCCTTATCATGCAAGGCCTTCCTAATTAATTGGGGAAATCCTTCCTCAGAAGGATGAAAAAACCAGAGTAGAACTGAGTACACCAATGCTGGGAAAGGACAAATTTACCTGTACTTCTCTAATTGCCACTATTTTCAATCTGGAGGCAGATGGAAATAGGTGGCAACAAAACTGTTGAAATAGGAGCATTGCTTTGAATGCAAGTGAAATTTAGGGAGTGGGATAATTCTTTCCAAAGTAGAGAAAATAATTTTACCTTCACTAAAAATCAGGGATTGTCTTTCCTATATTGGGGTGGCTGGAAAGTAATTTTATATATAGCTGTTTTTGACTTGGCTCACTTGGAGTGTGACTTATTTACTTGAAAAATATTTACATGGAAACAGGTAGTGGAACATCTTAGCTACACTGATTTTCATCACAGTGGCAGTCTTGATGCCCTTCTCCCAGGACTGCCATAATCACTCAAAATAGTCTATATTTTGAGTTTTACAGAATATCTTCCCGAGTTCAATTTCAGAATAATTGCAGTGCTGTTATACTTGAAAATAATAACTATTTGCATGGAATTTAAGAGGTGTTTCAGGGCCTGACATCCAGTGAAGTTTCTCAGGTTGTTGAAAGGATGGTTTGAGTAACTCTTTCAGAAGCTCAGTTAATGCAAGGGCACATTAAGTTTTGCCCTCACAGGACTGATGGCATAATTTGTCCATTAAAAATCTGTATCACCAGGCAGGTATTTCTTTGCTATGGATCCTCCAGGAGTTAGAATATTCATTATTTTGAGAAAATACTCATCACTGCTGGATTTACCAGAAAGTCCCACATTTTTTGGGATGTTATCCCAATGTTCTGGTAATAGAAAAATTGGAAAACTTCTGTGTTGATGTAGTGACTGGATATTATTTTTTTCCCCCTATACATTTCCCATTAGGAAATGCTCAAGTGGATTGATCTCTATCACTTATAGCAAATTATATACCTTCTTATTTACAAGTAAAAGTATTCTGGGTGTAGAAATGGAAATCTCAGACTTGATGAGGTTACCCTGAAAAAATGTAAAATGGCATAGCTGCTGACCTAATTACCCTTTCCTTTTTGAGTTCAAACATTGTGAGTAATGGGCAGTGGCTCAAGCAAACACTGGAAATTTTGTTGAAGAAACAAGAAGTGAAATGGGGGAACATCTACCTGTTTGCTTTGGTTGTTCTAGTCAAGGCAGTATTCAAATGAGAGTAGCCTTCTTTCTAAGTCTCATCATTTTCTTGCATAAGTGTTTTGCTTCAGGAGAAAAAAATGCTTGTTCTCACTTGCCCTGCTTTGGTAGCAACATGGAAGTCTTGGAAATGCAAGGTCTAACACATCCACATGGGTCCAAATGTGGGAGGCTGAGATGCTGTACAGAAACTAATAAATACCACCGTACTGCGTAGGTACTGACTGAGATATATAATTATCTCCATGCTCAGCAAATAACCTCTGTGAAATACAGATATTTTTGTCAGTACACTTGATTATCTTTAATCAAAGTGGTCTCCAAAATTCACTTTGCCAGCTCTAATGGACTGAGGTTTTCTGGACAGCCATCCCTGGTGTGCTTTCTAAGGGAATGCAGGGTTTCTAGTATTATAAACTTACCAAACATGTTTTGTTGTACTTGAAACTTGACTTATCTTGGATTTACTTTCTTTATATCATCCTCCCCATCTCATTGGACTTGTCTTTCATTTTATGGGAAAAATTTTGGATGCAATGTCGATTTATTGAAACATTTTTCTTGAAGGCCATTGTGTAACTTCTGTGTAAGTTTGCTGCTGCAGGGACTGCAAAATTTTGCTGTAAATTGCCATGATATAAAAGAAAGGACTCAATAGCTGGAATGTAATAGGAATATAGTTAGAGAAATGGAAATGGACAAACAGTGTCAATACAGAACAGAAAGCAGGTGTTGGCTGGGAAGAGCAGTAAATCCTTTCAAAATAGAAGTTTTAGACATTTAATGACCTCTAACTGCTGTCTAACTGACAAATATAATCTAGGGCTGGGTACTTTTCTTTACCACCTTTGCTGTTTGTAATAAGGAAGGATCAATTCCCTCATCCATAAGCACAGTGTGAGCTGTAAAACTTTCAGTGTCCTTGGACAG